TCAATGGTAGAGTCCACTTCACTTGGACTTCTTGAATCGTTCAACTAATAAAACACGTTGAAGCGAAAGCTCATGGAAAGTAAGGGAAGTCCTACTTTGAAGAAAATTCTTTGGTTTCCTTCTTTTCTTTTTTAAATAATAAAAATTATTATTAGCATTTTAAAATTTTAATTATACACTTTTCATAACAGGATTATTTCTTTTTATAAGAAAATATTATTGTTACTCTAATTCAACAATAGCTTCTAACTAATGTTTAGATTTCTTGCAGGCGGAGTTGTAATAGCTTCTAACTGAATGATAGGCATGTAATCATCACTTCTTTTGGCATTGAGCAAAAAAAACATTCGGGACAAATATTGGGATGATATATGGACTGTCTGATTTTAGCACCAATAATTTGAAACATATTCGTCTGTTGCTACAACACTCGAGTGACAAACGTTATAAAAGATATAACTAGATGAAACAACAAATTTGCTCATGGAGTCCAATAATGCCATAGACACAAAAAGATATAACTCAATGAAACGATAAATTTGCTTATGGCCAGGTTCAATATAGGAGAACAACTTATATGGAACGAGTTCACTGCCATTTGCAAAGCCACGTAAAGAGTACCATGGCTTAAAGCCTAGGTAGCTTTTAATAAAAATAAAAAAAAATTGCATGTAATTTTCATTAATTTTCAAATGTAGCGCACAATATATACTTGGCCACTAAGTGTAATTATTTAGTTTAATTATATATAAGATTATATATTACAATTCATTAACCATCTCTATTTCTTACACCCTTTTTCTCATCGCTTCGTGTACATATTTGCATCAAGTTTGGCCTTGTTTAAATTTTAGCATGTATTTGTTCTCATTAGATTCCAATTTTACATGTATTTGTTTAATAATGAAAATTTTTGGCTCACCATGTGAAAATTTTCTTAGATTAGCTGATAATGTGAAAAAAATATTGTATGTTTCTTCATTTATAAAAATTTAAATCTTTAAGCTAGCACACTCGGTAAAGGCTTCGTCCTTGTTCACCATCACGTGACATTTCTTGTCCAATACTGCATTATTATGTGTAAAGCATTCTTCATATGATAATGTATTATTAAATATGAATGTCGCGTGATAATGACAGGTTATTAAAAAAATAAAAAAAATAAAAATGTGCTGACCGTGCCGCATACGCTTAGGCAAGTGGTTCTATTATTTGCCTTGAACTAGCCATCAAATTCGAGTCTACTAGAAATTGAGTTATTTATTTGAATAAAAGGAAGAGGGGGTTTATTTTGTATTATTTTTTGTTGGAGTAAGATTCTCTTTTTTTTTTTTCTCTCTCTCTCTCTTTGTCTCTTCTCCTATTTGAACGGTCACGTTAACATCTTATATTAATTTTTTATAACAAGAAAAAGACAAAATAAAAAAATGTGAGAGGATGAGATGAAAATGGATGGGAAGAGAATCCTAGTCTTTTTTATTGACATGCATACTGTAAGGGGTCATTTTGATGGGAAACTTGGATGGGATAGTGATGGTAGCACCTCTTGCGGGTCAATGGTAGAGTCCACTTCACTTGGACTTCTTGAATGGTTCAACTAATAAACACGTTGAAGCGAAAGCTCATGGAAAGTTAGGGAAGTCCTACTTTCAAGAAAATTCTTTTTTTCTTTTTTTTTTTAATAAAAAACTATTATTAGCACTTTAAAATTTTAATTATACACTTTTCATAACAAGATTATTTCTTTTTATAAGAAACTATCATTGTTACTCTAATTCAGCAATAGCTTCTAACTCAATGTTTAGATTTCTCGCAGGCGGAGTTGTAATAGCTTCTAACTGAATGATAGGCATGTAATCATCACTTCTCTTGGCATTGAGCGAAAGAAACATTCGGGACAAATATTGGGATGATATATGGACTGTGACATCTCATATCGCCCAGATGAGTGATCCTTATATGTATATTCTGATCCCTACCTAGCGCAAAGCCTTTTGAGAGCTCACTGGCTTCGAGTTCCATCGGAACTCCGAAGTTAAGCGAGTAGCGCGCGAGAGCACACCTAGGATTGGTGACCAATCGGGAAGTTCTCGTGTGAGTTACCAGAAACAGAACCGTAAAGGCGTGGTCAGGGCCCAAAGCGGACAATATCGTGCTACGGTGGTGGAGCGGGCCCATGAAATGATCCGTCCCGGGCCGGGATGTGACATGGACTGTCTGATTTTAGCACCAATAATTTGAAACATATTCGTCTGTTTCTACAACACTCGGGTGACTAATGTTATAACATTGTTTAGGTGACTAATGTTATTAAAGATATAACTAAAGCAAACCAGGTTAAACACCCATAAGAGAAAACTAAAGCAAACCATCACAAAGTCTAGATATTCCAGCAACGTCCGACACTAAGATATGTTGACAAGAGGAAGGAGCTTGTTCGAATAAACTAGACCAAGAAAAAACGATAAACTCAAGTTAATTAGTCTGTTCATCAACCACAAAATTCAATTCATGATAAACATGACAGAGTTCACAATTTCAATCTCTCTCTAACAACTCACGACAAGCCTGTACTAATTCACCAAGAGGATGGTTTTCACTTGAACCTTGCAGAATCACATGAACAAGGAGAGCATAATCAAATTACAATTTTAACATGTATTTGTTTAATAATGGAAAATTTCTAGCATGCCCTGTGAAAACTTTCTTAGGCTGAAAAATATTGTATATTTCTTCGTTTATAAAAATTTAAATCTTTAAGTTAGTTCATCCAGTGAAAATTTAAATATTTATGTTTACATTTATGGTCAATTAGGTTATTTGCTTCTTGTGTAGGAGAAGTTTAACAAGGATAGTACGTGCCACTTTCGCATGAGGATGCATTACTATAGCACGTAACCATTTTCATATGATAATGACCGATTACTAAAAAAATAAAAAAATAAAAAAATGTGCTGACCGTGCCGCAAACTCTTGGGCAAGTGGTTCTATTATTTGCCTCGAACTAGCCATCAAATTCGAGTCTACTAGAAATTGAGTTATTTATTTGAATAAAAGGAAAAAGGGGTTGCTGATTTATTTTGTATTTACTTTTTGCTGACATGCTGTATGGGGCCATTTTGATGGGAAACTTGGATGGGATATTAGAAAAGTTTTAGGCACCAACTTGAATGCCGCGTGATAATGACAAGTTATTAAAAAAAATTAAAAAAATATAAAATAAAAAAAATGTGCTGACCGTGCCGCATACGCTTAGGCAAGTGGTTCTATTATTTGCCTTGAACTAGCCATCAAATTCGAGTCTACTAGAAATTGAGTTATTTATTTGAATAAAAGGAAGAGGGGGTTTATTTTGTATTTATATTTTGTTGGAGTAGGGTTCTCTTCTCTTTTTTCTTTCTTTACCTCTCCTCCTATTTGAACGGTCACGTGAACATCTTATATTAATTTTTTATAATAAAAAAAAAGATAAAATAAAAAAATGTGAGAGGATAAGACGAAAAAGGATGAGAAGAGAATCCTAGTCTTTTTTGATGACATGCATACTGTAAGGGGTCATTTTGATGGGAAACTTGGATGGGATAGTCATGGTAGCACCTCTTGCGGGTCAATGGTAGAGTCCACTTCACCTGTTCTTCTTGAATGGTTCAACTAATAAACACGTTGAAGCGAAAGCTCATGGAAAGTTAGGCAAGTCCTACTTTGAAGAAAATTCTTTTTTTTTTTTTTTTTTTAATAAAAAACTATTATTAACACTTTAAAATTTTAATTGTACACTTTTCATAACAGGATTATTTCTTTTTATAAGAAACTATCATTGTTAGTCTAATTCAGCAATAGCTTCTAACTCAATGTTTAGATTTCTCGCAGGCGGAGTTGTAATAGCTTCTTATTGAATGATAGGCATGTAATCATCACATCTCTTGGCATTGAGCGAAAGAAACATTCGGGACAAATATTGGGATGATATATGGACTGTCTGATTTTAGCACCAATAATTTGAAACATATTCGTCTGTTTCTACAACACTCGGGTGACTAATGTTATAACATTGTTTAGGTGACTAATGTTATTAAAGATATAACTAAAGCAAACAAGGTTAAACACTCATAAGAGAAAACTAAAGCAAACCATCACAAAGTCTAGATATTCCAGCAGTGTCCGACACTAAGATATGTCGACAAGAGGTAGGAGCTTGTTCGAATAAACTGGACCAAGAAAATACGACAAACTCAAGTTAATTAGTCTGTTCATCAACGACAAAATTCAATTCATGATAAACATGACAGAGTTCACAATTTCAATCTCTCTCTAACAACTCACGACAAGCCTGTACTAATTCACCGAGAGGATGGTTTTCACTCGCACCTTGCAGAATCACATGAACAAGGAGAGCATAATCAAATTACAATTTTAACATGTATTTGTTTAATAATGGAAAATTTCTAGCATGCCCTGTGAAAGCTTTCTTAGGCTGAAAAATATTGTATATTTCTTCGTTTATAAAAATTTAAATCTTTAAGTTAGTTCATCCGGTGAAAATTTAAATATTTATGTTTACATTTATGGTCAATTAGGCTATTTGCTTTTTGTGTAGGAGAAGTTTAAGTACGTTCCACTTTCGCATGAGGATGCATCACTACAACACGTAACCCTTTCACATGATAATGACCGGTTATTAAAAAAAAATAAAAAAAAGTGTTGACCGTGCCGCAAACGCTTGGGCAAGTGGTTCTATTATTTGCCTCGAACTAGCCATCAAATTTAAGTCTACTAGAAATTGAGTTATTTATTTGATTAAAAGGAAAAAGGGTTGCTGATTTATTTTGTATTTACTTTTTGCTGACATGCTGTATGGGGCCATTTTGATGGGAAACTTGGATGGGATATTAGAAAAGTTTTACACACTAACTTGCGGAACCCCTACGACCGGTCTATAAAAAAACCTCTCTCACAACCTCACTCTCACGCTAATATCGAAGAGTGCAGAACAAAACACAATGGGATTCCGCCGGTGCTTGTTTGTTTCCAATATGTGTTATACACTTTCAAAAGTTGTGTTGCTTCATCTCGTGGTTGTTAGCTCATCAGTTTCCTCATTGCAGCAATCTTGTCATGACGAGGAGAGGTCTGCCTTGCTGCAATTCAAGGAAAGCTTCATCATTAACAGATCTGCCTCGTATTCTGATGATGCTTATCCAAAGATTTTGCAATGGAAACTAGCTGAGGGACGAAACGTCAGCTGCTGTGCATGGGATGGCATTGTGTGTGATGAGAGGACGGGTCATGTTATTGGCCTTGATCTTAGTAGCAGCTGTCTCCTGGGCTCTATCAACTCCAACAGCAGCCTTTTCCGGCTTGTTCATCTTCAAGTGCTGAACCTTGCTGACAACAACTTCAATTCCTCTCGAATTCCTACTAGCATTGGGAATTTCCCTGGGCTCATGCATCTTAATCTCTCTAGTTCTTCCTTTTCTGGCCAAATCCCTTCCCAAATTTCACAGCTGGCCAACTTGTCGTCCCTTGATTTGTCTTCCAACGATGGTCTAACTGGTCATTTTCCTGAATTTAATACAAGCAGTCCTCTCACTTCACTGTATCTTAGCTTCACTAGCTTATTCGGAAATTTGCCTTCTTCAATCGAAAAGCTTGATTTATTAAACACGCTGGAATTGGCACACTGCAAGTTCTCGGGTTTGGTTCCATCTTCACTTGGTAATCTTAGGCAGCTCATACATTTAGACCTTTCAGGAAATAACTTTAGCGGTCCAGTCCCTAGTTCATTGGCAAACCTCACCCAACTGAAGGAGCTCCGTCTTGAAGCGAATGCTTTTAGTGGCTCCATTCCCTCCGCTCTCGGTAGTCTCAACAAGCTCGAAGTCCTGTCACTTGTCCAGAATCATTTTAGCGGTTACATCCCGGCTTCACTAGGAAATCTCACCCACCTCACAGAACTTTCTTTGTTTTTTAATCAGTTAACCGGTCCAATTCCTTCTCTAGCAAACCTCACCCACCTCACAGAACTTTATCTGTTTTCGAATCAGTTAACCGGTTCAATTCCTTCTCTAGGAAATCTCACCCACCTCACATACCTTTATCTGTTTTCGAATCAGTTAACCGGTTCAATTCCTTCTCTAGGAAACCTCATCCACCTCACAGCACTTGATTTGTCTTCGAATCAGTTAACCGGTTCAATTCCTTCTCTAGGAAATCTCACCCACCTCACAGGACTTTCTCTGAATTCGAATCAGTTAACCGGTCCAATTCCTTCTCTAGGAAACCTCACCCACCTCACAGGACTTTCTCTGTATTCGAATCAGTTAACCGGTCCAATTCCTTCTCTAGGAAACCTCATCCACCTCACAGGACTTTCTCTGTCTTCCAATCAGTTAACCGGTCCAATTCCTTCTCTAGAAAATCTCACCCACCTCACATACCTTTATCTGTCTTCGAATCAGTTAACTGGTCCATTACCTAATTCCTTATCCAATCTCATCAATCTCGAGGTATTTGATGCATCTGATAATAATCTGACTGGTACAGTGGAGTTCCGCATGATGTTTCATAAGTTACAAGGGCTCACCGATTTACAATTATCTCGTAACAATTTGAAAATTTTCACAGAAACAGAAAGTACGAATGCAAGCCTACTTCCAAAGTTAGAATTTCTGGGATTGAGTTCGTGCAACATAAGAGAGTTCCCAAGTTTCCTGCAGTATCAAGAAACATTGTTGATCTTGGACCTTTCCTCCAACAATTTGCATGAAGTACCAAAATGGATGTTGAACACAAGCACAGAGACTTTGGCGGAGATGGACATTTCTGACAACTTCCTTTCAAGCATTGTCCAGCCTTCAGATGCCTTTCCTTGGGTTAACCTTCTAGTTTTAGTGCTCAAGAATAACAATCTAAATGGAGCAATTTCACCGTTGATCTGCAATCTGACTTCTCTTCAGTTCCTTGACCTCTCCAACAACAATATGAGTGGAATGCTTCCTCCCTGTCTCGGAAACTTCAGCGATGGTCTGCTAGGTTTATATCTTGGAAACAACTCTTTCAGCGGCTTTCTTCCTGAAATATACACCAGCACAAGCAGTCTGAGGGTGATTGATGTTAGTCATAACCAATTGCGAGGGAAACTACCAAGGTCGTTGGGGAACTGCACGACACTTGAGTTTATTGATCTGTCATACAATAAATTCAGCGATGTTTTTCCCTTTTGGTTGGGAGCTCTTCCGGAGTTAAAAGTTTTGAAAATGCACCAGAACGCGTTCTACGGTCTGATGGAGGAACCTCATCAGGACAATGTTGAATATTTCCCTGAGTTACGAATTCTGGATCTATCTTTTAATAGTTTCAGAGGCAAATTTCCATCTCAAAAGATCTTTTCCGGGAATGTCATGAGGGGTGTCCCTCGAAACCAGTCAACATATATGAAGGTAGATTCATTTATCGGTCAAAGTGTTAGTAAATTATTTGAGGAATATTACTCAATCACGATAACTAGCAAAGGTGTGGAGAGATATTATCCGAAGATTCAATCAGCCCTTGTAGCGATTGACATCTCAAGCAACAAATTTGAAGGGAGGATTCCTGAATTTATTGGGAACCTAAAGGGGCTGATGTCATTCAATATATCTGGTAACCTCCTAACTGGTCCCATCCCATCATCTTTCGGGAATTTAACGTCGCTTGAATCACTGGACCTTTCACAAAACAAGCTTTCAGGACAAATCCCTCAAAGCCTCGCGCAGCTTACATTCCTTGAAGCATTCATTGTCTCTAACAACAGCTTGACAGGTCCAATACCGCATGGAACCCAACTTATTTCAATGGGTAGCAGTTCATATGAAGGAAACCCTGGATTGTGTGGAGATCCTTTGCCAAAGAAATGCGGAGATCCTAAGGCTCCTCGCCTGTCGCCTTCAAAAACCGAAGAAAATGATTCAGGCTCGTTTGAATTTGATTGGAAATTTGTTTTGGCTGGTCTCGGAAGTGGGTTGGTGGTGGGAGTTGTTCTTTCTGATGTGGTGATCACAAAGAAGCGTGAATGGTTTGTTGAGATTGTTAAAACCATCAAGCTGATGATAGGAAATTCATAAGTGCGCTATAAGGTTATGCATTTGGTGTTGTTTTTTGCTTGTTTTATATTATTTCTTTGTACTCCTTTTTAATGTTATGTCTTCCTTTTGTAATATGGTGTATTAGTTCCATAAAAGGTACTGTAAGATGATGTGAAACTGGTACCGGGCAGAATCGTTTGCTATGTATGGAATAATAGAACAAGAATTCATAATTCTATCGAAAGTAAACCCAAATTTAACAACAGATAGATATTAGAAACAGTTTTAACTGCCAAAGATGCTAGTCAAGCAAAAACACAGCAACTCACATATGAAATATCTGAGTTATCTAATATGTAGTAGATGCAATCCAAGGTTCAAACAATCATACATGAAGTTCGTTCACACAACAATAAATAAGGGTCCATAAAAACAAAATTCACACACAAGTTTGTGCCCGAAAACCCCTATTTAACTGGGTAAAAAACCGGAAGAATTTCCAGGAGCAAGTTCATACAGAGTCATACGCATACACTGGCTCAAATCCTAAATTTTTGTCTAAAGGAGCAACTCGTACTTTTGCTCAACTTTGAAATTCTTCAAGCCTAGGAAATGAGTAGCAATAGTGCCCGCGCGATGCTGCGGATTTTAAAACTATATAAAACATGCAGAAAATTCTAAATACACACAATATGCAATACTATTTATATACATACAGAAATCTATTTACAACAATATGAATTGGCAGTTCTATTGCCATCGTTCTAATATTCACATCTTTTACAAATTTACATACAAAAGATAATATTTGATGTGTATTTACATACTATTTACACACAAAAGATTGGGTAGATAGTCCCCATTGATATCCTCATGAAATAGGCAGATAATCAGCTTATTTTACCCAATCATAACCAAACTCTGTGGTTGCAACTGACTTTAAGTTGTTAATGGAACAAAGTACCTGGAGTCGAAGATAAACCTGGTGAATGTAGAAATCTTCAAGCCCTAAACAAATTGGCCTTGCTTTTTGCAACAAAACAATCCTTTTATGACAGAAAATTACAGGAAAAACTTTTAGAAGTGGAAATAAAATTAAGTCAAATGATTAGGGAACCAGAAATTTACTGGACCATTCACAGAAATAAAATTTAAATTAAAAAAAAAAATTTCTCAAATACATAGAGCATGACAATTTTAAACATACAAAAGCGAAACAAAATCATCGGAGCAAATAATAACATGAAATTGAAAACTTATTAACAATTTATTAAGCATATATAGGTACACCCAACAGATAATCTTATTTAATCACACCATTTTAATTTATCAAACTGATTATTTAATACTGTCATGCACAACAATATTTTACCATAATGAACTCTTACAAAACTCTCTCATCCCAGTCGCATTTTTTGTTAAAATTTTGTTTGCTTTACTTCCATCCATAAGTTTAATATCTTTTCACTGTTTTTCAAATCTTGACGAAACTATGAAGACACAAACAACAGCACTCAACTCCTTTTTCAACCCTGTATCCAATTACACAAATAAGAATGCAGCATTTTTATTAAAGCATGTAATTCTCCTCTTCCTATATTCTTCCCCTTTCTCTAACCAAATAAAAATTTCCAAAACTATATACGAATTTTTTTATAAAAAAACAATACATAATTCAAGCAAACAAAGAAAAAAAAACGAAAACTCTTTTGTGAGATTGTATTACTTTGTTAGCAACCAGCAGCAAAATGTTTCATCTTCTCACCAATTAATAAGTCGGTAAACAAATGACTAAACTTTCTTAATCACAAAAGGCTAAAAGCTAAAACCAAAAATCACTCACCTTAATGATAAAAGCACTTTGAACAGTCGCATCATGTCATTGTTTAGAAACTGAAAATCTGTAAAGTGTTAACATTTAAACATATATCAAAAATGGCATCATCACTGGGATTAATTCTTTAAGAAAATCGATGACAACTATAACATAAACATCCAAACACCAAATTAAATGCAGAAACATGGCAACCCATAACATAAACTGAATTCCAGATGAATTGAAAACAATATTACAACAAAAAACTCCAAACATAAAAAAATCCCAAACCAATTGAAAAAAAATAACCAAAACCAAAACAGACCAACTCAGGGTCATTGACACCATTATTTCAAGAAAGCTTCCCAATACTGAAGAAGCGACACTTCTCCCTTGCCTTGGAGCAGTCTTTTACTTTCAGCTTCAACCAATGAGTATATTCAACCAATAACCGAGTTTGGAAATATACAAAATAGATAATAATTTTCCTGAATTAAACTCAAATCATATATATATGAATTTTTTTTTAAATCATGTATAATCCAAATTCCAGTCCCAAAAACCAACCATAATTTTAAAAACTACAAACATGCAAAACCCAAATCAAATCTTCAAGTCATTTCAGATTTTATCAATAACTCACCAACCCAATACACACAAAAGAGTAAATTACCTGAGATTGCGGCTGCTCAAGTAGTTTCTAACGACATACAGATGGTGCAACAGCGCATACACATACGGAGACGGAGACGGAGAGAGAAGTGGGTTCGACTGTTTGAGGATTAATGACGAACATGTGGTGAGCGCTCTAACGTCGGCAGATTGGGAGGCGTGGAGGTGCCTCATGCCTTTTAAGTTTCAAGGTTTTTACTATGGAATCGAAGCAAAACCCAGATCAGATTCTAAGTGGGTTTATCAAAAATAATAATTTATTCAGGAATTAATACTGAAAATAAATCAGAAATTAACACTGAAAATAAATTAAGAATCCAAAAAAATTGAAATTTTCATACCTCTAAGTTTCTGGGTTTTACTGTGGAATCCAATTGAGAACCACCTAAAAAACGAAATCACATACGCTAAAAAAATGCAAAAATCACCCGAACACATTAGACTACGCAAGCAAAAAACAGATTTCAATCAAATTGAAAAGGCAGAAATCTGTAGCCCCTCCACCGTTCATGAATCGAGCAATTTTCTGGAAGAAAAACGAAGGTGAATAATCGGACAGAGAAACTTGCAAAGGGTGGACACCAAGATAGAGAAACTTGCAAGTGGTTGTTATAAAGATAGAGATGTTATGAAAGCTATATTCATGTACAGAAGTTCACAATATTAAAATCGTTCAAATACGAAAAATATTCATGTTCATATCAGAAGCTTGGCACCACACATCTGCTCAGTGTTTATGATTTTTCCTGGTCAATCTTTTGGTCTTGCTTGTTTGGGAATGACCATCTTTTTCTTGGTCATCATGTTATTTTTTGCTTTGTCCAGAATTTTTCTCTTGCTATATATTAAGAATTGGAATCAGAAAGAATTGAATATAAAAAAAAACTAAATTTTTTCAATCTATCTAACTAATGAATTGATGGAAGAGTGAAAAAGAGAAACAAAAAAAGGCCATTATTCAATTATATGGAGAATTACTTGATACGTACAAAAGGTTTGAAAATTAAACTAACATTAAAAAAAAAAAAGAGATGAGATGGAGTGGAGTGGAAATCACATACCAACATCAAGCTTAAAATTGTAGTGCTCATTTGTAGTGCTATCTGCAATTAGTCCTATCAGGAGCTTCTGCACTGGTTGATGTCTCGGTCTTTTCCTTAGCTGTATGTACATTGTAGACTTGGGTAGATGAGAAGCAGAAGAAAATAAAAATATAAGTTAAAGTTACAACTTAACTATCTATGTTGATTCATGTCCAACACACAATAAGAATAGTGAATCATTTTTCATCTTGTGCACTGGTTTGTCATTGTCACTCAAATTCACATATTCATTTACTCCGAATTTCTTAGTTATGGCCAGGGAAAGAATGTTTAAGCAAAAATATGTTTCTATGTTTTCCCACTAAACTACCTGTTAAACCAAACCTAAACGTCATAAAAAATAAAAACTAAAAGATAAATACCTTCATCAAACCTCTTGGGCTTCAAGTCCACCGACTCCACCCAATACTCTGGCACCTCAGAAATTTTTCCACCTTTAGTAGCCTAGATCATCCATGTATCAGTATAAATACGGAAAAAAAAAGTAAATGCAATTTATTAGAACAAAGAATTTGGGATCAACAAAGTTTGTCCAAACTTACAGCGAGGCCAATAAACAACTGAGGATAATTTTTCGTTTTGCTACATTGAGAGGGGAACCCAAACCTGAAAGTAAAAAAACAAAATATTCAGTAATAATGCAAACGATTCAATATGTAGTATCAGTTGAGGATGCATAATTCAAGGCTCTAAAGCATTGAGTACGACACCAAACCTGTTGGTATGGCACAACTAAGGATGCAAACTTTGTCCAACTGAGCAAGGGGCTTGATTTTGGAAAGACGGCCAGAATGAACAACAATGTATTCACTCGAAGTAAATGTGCCTGGAAAACTCTACTCATAGTTTACAAATCTGCAATTCTCAAAGCTTAATCATATAAAATCATATATATATATATATATATATATATATTATGTATATTATATGTATGTAGTAGATATTATTGCAGACCTTCGGCAGAAGTAGAGTTCAATATGATAAACTGAGGTATATTTGACCTTTATCCTCATTTCCATGGCCTTAGGTGGAGCAACCTTCACCCTCTCCATCACCAACAGCTTCCCTGCTTCCCATGCAACCCCTGTTGCAAAATCTACAACACAGAAATCCCAAATTGAGGAGTATTAAATCTCTATAAAGACATGAACAATGGACCTAGCGGGCAAAGAAGCTGATTGGTGTTCATAAAAAAGATATTTTAGTTTTAATTACTTGATATCATGAATAAAATAAGGATAGATTGTGTTTACCCATTTTTTTGTGCAGGAAAGAAGGCTGGTTTTGCATGATTTGGGAATGACCTTTTTCTGGAAATTTTACACGATGTGATCAAATTTTTGCACGTTTGTCTTTTGGAATGTACATCAGATAAAATTTTGATTGACCATATGAAAAAGATAATGTTTTAGCATGGTGTAAATACAAAATTACAGGTGTGTATTAGTTGGGATAGCAAAAGCTTTACAAATGAGATTATAATTGAGGGTTAAACTGCTCAGTCATCATATGAATTCACAGAATGTAGACTGATTGGTATGTTTAAGCAGTAACGACAACACTTTTGGTTTAGGATAGTTAGCAATATGTGTAGTACATGTATGACTCTAATTGTTTCTTAATTATTAACTATTATAAGACTAAAATCTCTTCTCAAGCTTGTAAAGAAGTTTGAGTTTAAATTGATTTTTCTAATTCGAACAAAAATCTACTCAGATACTTCAAATAATGGAAATCATACAAAAAGCAATCACCCTGGTAGCTAGTTAGTACATGAAACCGTGTTATTGTTAATAAGTTAAACATATGAGAGATAATTTTATCAAAATAAATAAAAGATAGTGGAAGAATGGTGTACCTTCAAATGAATGATGATTGGAGGCCATGCTATACAGAAAAGCTGGTTATGCTGTAAAACAACAATAAGCAGGAATAAATTTGTATGCATCTAATTGTTTTCAGAACGGGAAAAGTCAGGAATATTGCTAACTACTTGCTGGGAGAATTTTTTAGGTGTTTTTGTTTAAAACTGGCTCTACAAACATGCATCAAATAAAGTACATAATTCTACAAATAAAGAGCACGTATGTAATTTATCAATCTGCCCAGTTTTCATAGATTTCATAATTTATCAACCTACAAACATGCTCTTCATAAATCGACGATGGCAAGATGAGAACAAAACGCTGGCCAACAAAGGGTTCGTCACCGGAGAAGACCGGAAACAAAACGCCCAATAAAATCAAACAAAGGGTTGCACACCGGAGAAGACCCGAAACCAAATCCAAAATAAAATTAAAGTCAGGATCTCTTCTAACAACTATTCTGCGAAGAAAGAGCAAAGATTTGGCAGCAAAAGAGGGAACGATGAAGAGGGAGAAAATCGCACAGCAAGAAGGTGAAAAACAAAGAGGAAAGGTACAGTAGAAAAACAAAGATGAAAGACGCGTGACCGGGAAGGGCAAAAGAGACTTTTTACTGTATAAAAAATGAAACCCTAGCTATCCAAAAAAGAAACTCGAGGGCATTTCCGCCCTTTCACTGTTCAGAACAGTGAAAAACAGTGCCTACGAAACTGGGTTTTAGTATATGTATAATTTGATAAATAAAAGAACATTATTTTAATCCCTAAATAAGATAATTTTTGCAATAATACGTAAGATTAAAAACTAAAAATAGTCCTCTATGTCACATTTAGTCTTTTTTTATTTTTTTATAAATTCGACAAACTTACAAATTCAATTCGAGAAGATCCAGAGGTTGGATTTTCAATTTGTAAATTTCTAAGGTTCTCAAATGATACTTATAACAACATATGGTAATTCATAATGATCGAACAGTCAGATCTTCGTCTACTACAAAGGTAAATAATCTACAATTTCCTTCAATCCGGAAAATCCGTATATCGGATTTCCGATCCGTAGATTCCTAAGGTCCTTAACTAATACATACAATAACATACGAAAATTTTTTGGATTGGAAGAGGCCACATCACCTTTGCTATGAGGCCACAAACATGACCTTCCTTGAGAAATAAGCTGCCCTACGTATGTAAGGACTCAAAACTATTGTAATACACACACAAATATCAATACACCATAGTGGATGTAGCTCGATTACAGGTGAACCAAACTATCTCTTAGGATATGGTTCATCTGACCTGTTTCAACTACTTGTGTCCACACAAGTTCTTTGATGACTAACCATTTTCTAGCATCAATAGCAATAGCTAAAAGTTTTTTTTTTTTTCACTTTAAAAGATTTTCTTTTTGCTCTTGAACAACTTATGTCACACTACATTATAATTAATGATTTATATATGAAAGCATCTTAAAACTTTAGGAGTTCTTATTTACAAAAGCTTAGGGAGTTTTGTGGAAAAAACAATGAATGTGAGGGGTTATGTGAAATCTATGTGATTAACTATAAGAAATTTGTGGAGAATTTTTTAAAGATATAATCCATTTTGGGATGAAATTTTCACGGAATGGGCTTCATGGAAACAATATGAAACTTCAAGGGGTATTATTATAAACCTAAAGGGATTTGTGTGAACACGGAAAGGGTAATGATAGGGAGACTAAATTTGTAGACAAAATTTTGGAAACTAAATGATATAGAAGTTGATGATTGATTGATTTATTACTTAAGCGTTAATAAATGTACTCATTCCTATTGGTGACATATTATTTAGTTTACAAATTTAGTCTTCCTAACATTACTCACAGAGAAAACATCAAGGGATGCTAGTGTAATCAAATAAAAATTGTGAGGTATAGTTAGGGTTAATATTGTCACAAACCTGCCATTTTACGTTATGGAGATGATTTGTGGACTAAAGTTTCAGCGCATATCTAGTGAGACAAGCTTATTCTTTTGGTAATTTGATCCAACGGCTAAAATTATTATAAATTTTAAAGTGAGCTCCTATTTGTAACCGTTTGATCAAATTTTAAAAGCTCGGATTTGTGGCCTTGGTGGATTTATTGGAAGGGATTTGTGGCCTTGGTGGACTTATTTCTACGGCTAGAAATAAACATAGTTGCGCAACGGAAGAAAAATTGTGTGAAAATCACTTACCTTAAATTTTATGGATGAATTATTTGTCTTGGTATTAAACTCTTAATCAATTTTTTATTGTGGTTTTTGCATAAAGTTTTTGACACACCCCGATCGAGATCAGGGCATGTTGGCTGTCACGTGGAAGTGACGTAACCATGTGCACAGTGCGGAAGCTAATAAAATAATAATAAAAGTACGAATAAATAAATAAAAAAAACCAGCTTTACACAAAGTAAGAACATACATGTGCAAGCGTAAGTGTGAAAAATAAAGTTCAGAGCACAAAGACCTAATGCAGTCCAGAAGAAACAACATTACATAAACACACCCAAAGGTGGTCCTACATTGGTTATAATCTGTCAGATATGCCGGGAAATCCTCTAGGGAGCCACCAAAAGTGCTAGCCAACTAGAACCTGGAGGGGCGCAAAACAAAAAGTATGAGTGGGCAAAAACAAAGCTTTTCAAAAACCATTTTATAAACAAGATTCTAACCACTCGCCGTAAAATCTGTATACTTCCCAGAAAACATAATATACATATATATATATATATATAAATCATGCTCGGAAATATGCCATGTCAAATGTCTCTAAATAGAATGCAAGTGCTCAGGAATGTCAAATCAATGCCACGTAATCTGTCAGCCGGAGTCACCTAACGTGACCTGTACGGCTGAATCTAGAGCTCAAATCTCCATCTCACTAACTATACCTGCATACGAGTCGGAACCACCTAAAGCGGTCTGTACGACAAGACTGGGTGTAATATAAGTACGCTCTCAAGTGCTACGATCACGTGAAGGCTGGGCGAATAATCGCAGGTCACCTACGAGTCGGAACCACCTAAAGTGGTCTGTACGACAGGACTGTGCACCTAACTTGGATCCAAGATGAGCGTGTGGTGCGGGAGGTGAACATCACGTGAAGGATTGTGCCCAACTCTGGGCAGGAGCATTAACACCGGGGGTGCAGGTTATGAGCTCTCTATGCATCTCAAATCACTACTGAACATAAACATAAATCATAACTCACCTGACACTTACCTGTGCGTCTGCAGCACCAAACATATATACATATGCGACTAATAATGCATAAATAAATGGCAAACAATAAGCATGGCATATAAACGTATAAACGTTTCATTTCACTTTCTGGGAAAAGTATAAGTATATAGGTATATACGGAAAACCAAAAGCCCACTCACTGGTATGTAGAAGGGTCGTAACCCCCTTGCCTCGAGTGACCGCGCTTGTCCTCGGGATAGGTCTCACCTATATGCGAAACAACTATAAAAACGTTAATTTTAAAGCACATAACCAACATCACGAAATAACTTTTCATACAAAGCTCAAATGGGGTGTATGAATGCACCAACATGATCTACTCAAAATCAGGAACATCCCCATATTTTTAAAATAATTTTTCAACGCCGCACGCGGCACCACGCGCCGGCCACGCGCAGGCACGTGCCTAGCACACTGACGGCGTCAGTTAACGCCATCAGGAATATTCCTTTAACTCTAATGGATTCCGTTAACGCCGTTAGGAATATGCCGTCCAAACTGACGGAATATTCCGTCATCTTCTCCGGTGAAGCTCAGGCGCCGGAAAATCGGGAAAACTTTAAAACCTTGTAACTTCTTCGTTTTTCAACCAAATTTCACAAAATTTGTACCAAAATAAAGCTTACAACAAGAGAAACAAATCCATACCACTTTCAAGCACTAAAACCCACGGAATCTCGACAAGAAAACACCACCAACTCCGGCCAAGCTTGTAACTCACGATCCCGACGTCCAAAACCTTCAAACGAACCACCCCGAGCCTCCTAAGGACCTTACCAAGCTTCCTACAAGCTTGAAATTCCCAAAAACACAAGAATTAACGTGTGCATGAACAATGACCAAATCGAGGTATCCCAAGTTCGACGTGAAAACGAAGGTATCCTTACCTGAAATGGGTATGGTTGAACTCCCAAGGACCTCACGAGCACGAATATGTAATTTGCTTCCTCGATCTGTGAAGGTTTGGATGGTTTTGGTTGTCGTCCGTACAAAGAGAATAGGAATGGGAGAGAGAGAGAGCTCGGGACAGCGCAGAGAAAAGGGTGAGGGGGTGTGGGAGAGTGTGTGTCGTCCAAAACCAGCCAAACAAAACCCAAAACAACCACACAACGAAACCAACATGCTAGGGGCAAAATCATTATTTCACCTCTACGGTTTGAAAATCCGGAACGGGCTATCACAGTTTTGAATTTTTGGGATGATTTTGTTTAGTGAGGTAACTAAAGCAGTGGTTCTTGAACTTTAGCTTAATCAAAGCTTTAGTTCCTAAACTAACAATCCGTGTGGTGATGTGAAGCAATGATTCCTTTTGCTAACTATGTTAGAACTTCCATTCAAAATAAAGGGTTTAGAGGGACTGTTAAAATGATTATTGTTCCACATTATAGTAAGTTTAGAAATCAATACTCACTAGTTTTGAGATCGGGGATTATTGCTTCAATTTTCTCCTATTGAGCGCCTTCATTGGTTCATTTAAGAAGTTTTTATTTTTTTATTAAGTGGAAATGATAATAGGAACTTAGAAGGAATATACTCAAGATCTTGTAGGAAAACATCGTGAACGATATTTGCAGAGTCCTCATCCCAAAATACATATTTTGAACGAGTACCTTTATGATGTCGTTCAGGATGTTAAGGCCACTCCGTTGCAATGGCGGGACACATGGGCAAATTCCACCTCCTGCACATGGAGCTACTCAATACTTCAGAATTAATTGTGGGACCTCTATATCTTCCTAATTAAACGTTTCCTAATTGATTCCAGCATATCCGGTAACTCCCAACATATGAGAAAGACGTTGATGGCACATGTACGCAAGTATTTATCAAATATGACAAAAAATTGACCCATAATTTTAAAAATATCAGTTTTAATAAAAAAAAAATTATCATATGTAGCCAAAAAGTCAGTTCAATCGATACATACCTTTTAGTATAAAAGCAATGCTTTGGTTATGAGTCTTTGATTGCAATTGATTTCATTCATATTTGGGTATTTTTACAGAAATAGAATAGTTTGATTTGTTTTGACATACATTTCATCATACCAGTAAAAAAAGTAAAATAAAATATGAAAAATTTCTTTCATCTGTGTTTTATCTCAAACTGGTGATATTTGGCTGTTGCAAACCTCTTACAACATTAGTCAGACGTTGAAGTGTCATTGAACTGGTTCAAACCATTATGAGTTTATGGGACTCATGGAGTTATGTAACAGAGGAAATCCTAATCTGGTGTATGACCTCTAGATCGGCTACACACACAAATCCCCCTTGTAATTTTGTATCACCAAGGCCCACTATCGCAGAAAAAGTGTGGGATGTCGTAAGTCATACGCAAGAATCTCTATCGCTTACAAGGTAAGACTTCTTTCTTTGTCCTAATTGTGTGAATATTGCATTATTCCAACTTGGAACCTGTTACTCTTGTTCCTTAAAGACTTAAAAAGTAAAAGTACCCCACCATTTAGACAACCATTTTTCTAATTGTTACATTCTTTTGCTAATTTTAAATGAATGTCTCACTCCATAACTTCAAGACCGTTCTTCAAATCAACGTAACACATTAATCAGGATCCTCTTATATATAAATAGTTGATTTTTCAAACTTGTTAAAATTTGATTAGTTCAACTTTCTCATCTTTGGAATTTTCTATGTAAGAATAATCCTCCAGATGCCAAAAACTCTTTTGGTATAGCCAACTGATACGACAATCTTCATTCCTAACTTATATTGTATGCGTGTTGACCGTGGGGTATCCCAGATCCATGAAGTTTCTTGATTCACCAAGCACCCACGCATGTCCAACTACATCCAAAACTATTGTATTTAGTTTACAATTCATATTGTTTCATCTGACTAGCATTCGAAGTAAAGTTCGGCCGAATAATTAGTTTTGCTTATGAATTAATTGGCTTTGTTAGGCAAGTTTTGGTATACCATACTAAATGCGAAGAGAAAAACTTGGGTGGGGATGATATGCTATACAGCAAGATAAGTGATACATATATATATAGTTTCCACGTAAAAAATATAGTGTTACAGAATTCAACCTCACAAAACATGTTACAGTAAAATAGATAAAACCAGTAGACCTTTTCAACAATGGCAGTGCAATGTATAGTCGTTAAGGCCTAAAGTCGTATAAATATGAAGTGAAATCTAACGATTGGTGTCTGAAAATGAGTTACAGAGGAGGAATAGAAAGATGGTTAATTATAACCACATTATGGTGTATTCAAACGAAACCAAGTGATCGCCCTTCGATGTACAAAGTCATCGAAATGCTTGGAAGAGATGTTGAATGTCTGCAATTGCTTCTCAGGCCTTCTCTGTGCCCACAAGAGGCGTCCGTGACTGTAGGTGATATTAAAGAAAATAAATCGAACCCAATGTGTTCTAACATCGAGCTAACATGTTCATCATCAACTAGGTGAATATCAAATTGTTAAGAAAGTGCAATAATGTTATAATAATTAAATTCTCACTTTAAAGTGATTTAATTAGTAAAGAACTGTCGTCTGTAAATGTTGTTAAAGTTTGGATGTGTGTGTATACAAAAAACTGAAAGAATGAAGAACAGTCACTGAAGAAGTTGAGAGAATGATGGATAGTTCTCCCTGCAAAATACACAGAGGGATATACTTCTATTTCTCTCTCTTGCACACGAAATCGTGCACTGCATAACACTTAGTTATGCAGCTGGATTCTCACCATTACACCAATGAGATCTCAGCCACACATCTAGCTAGATTCTAGGATTCAAATACATGTCACTAGACATCGACAATTACAATACATGTCACTACATACAAAGACATTACTACCAATGTAATCAGCTCATGGCTTATACACTAACAAATGTTTATGCTTGAATTCATCTATGAACTACCGGTTGGTGGTATACATCTACATATTTACTCTAATTTAGCAATTGCTTCTAACTCTAGGAGGCGCCTTTTGGGGATGCCTGCCCATGATGTTTGTGTAGGACCTGCAGAAACAAAAGAATTAGGAGGCATCCTCAAGTTTTCTCCTCCTCCTAGCATCTGAACAACCGTTTTCATGGAAGGATGATCCACCGAGTACCACTGGATGCACCAGAGCCCTACAATTGCAAGTTGCTTTGGAATCTTACCATCCCTTTCTTCCCTGATATGGATTCGTAGGTCATCTCCTTCCTCTAGAAGGTTATAAATCCATTTTGGATAGAAATTTCATTGGTCGTGTCCTCTGTGGTTGAACCAATATTCTTCTTTCCTCCTATCATCTCAAGCAGCAGAATTCCAAAACTATAAACATCTGCCTTGTAAGACACATTTCCAAAATTCCTAGAAAACACTTCGAGTGCAATGTAGCCCATGGCCCCCATCGCTGTAGTCATTGACACTATGCTTTGATGCTTGGAACATAACTTGGCCAGACCAAAATCAGAGATTTTTGGTGTGAAGTTTTGGTCTAGCAAAATATTGTGGGGTTTGATATCGAAATGGAGGATTCGTAGATCACACAAATAATTGCTTTTGCAACACAAATTGCATTTATATAACACTAAACAAACCTATATTTTTCCTTTTTAATACTTGGTTTGATTACAGAATAACGCTTTTTGCTTGAGCCACAACAAACTCTACATCTTTCTCCATTCTAAAATTGAGGAGAGCTGCAATCAACCTTTGCCACTCGATTTCACGCTAGTTACAATAAAAACGATTAGATTTGAGCTCGGTTGGAAAGGTAATTCTAAAAAGTTAGGAGGGTAAATTTGTCCGTAAGTTTGGTTGCCCTCCTATACACGTGTTGGCCGACCATGGGATGGGTTGCATTCGATGGGGACGACGGCTGTGTGGAAAGTCGAGGAAGATGAAAAGTGCGTGGAAGGGAAAGCAGATGGTAACCCGACTGACTCGTGTTTCCGCTCTCCTCCCTCTCAGTTCCTCTTTCTCCTCTACTGAAACCATAATCTTCCTCTCCTCGGCGCGCTGCCATGTCTCTCGCCATGGAGCCCACAAACTAAGCAAGTAGTGACGGTCACAAGACTCAAACATGGCGGATGCGTACTGGAGGTATAATGACGGCTAGCAACCGCTGCCGTCGGCGATGAATATAGCCGTCGGAAAGCGTACTCGCTCCGGTTACGGTATGTTGGATTCCTTGAATATCCCTTTTTTTTCCTCTTTCATTTTTGCGTTGGTTTGGGGTGGGATCTGGGTTTTCTCTACATTGCTTAAATTTTGCATTTTTTTTCTTTCTGGATTTCAATTAAGAATGGATAAATTTGGGAGTTTCTGATGACTTTGTTCCTCATCACCTGCCAATACCAGTGCCAGAGATGGATCTACGGCCACCACCGCCAACCACGCCGCTGGGAAGATCTTAGATTGAAAACTGGAACTTTGTACGAGGTTTCATGAATAGAGGAAGTGTGCTTGCTCACTCTCTGAGTGTTTCGTCGAGGGGTGAGATTTGTGGCTGAGATTTGTTTTATTGTAGTTGTAACTGAGATTTGTGGCTTTATCATTCTGACATTCATTGCTTTTTGTTGATGAATGTAATCTGATTTTGCAGTTCAAGGTTTTTCAACAAGAAAATTAAGCTGCAAATTAAATTGAGGTATGAATGAGTTTATCCAACTTTAATTATTTTGGTCCGCGTTTCCTTTTTTTTTTTTTTTTTTTTTTTTTTTGAAATTAGATATTTTTGTAGACATTTTTCCTTAAAATTGAGTAAATTACTCGTACTTTTACACATGCATCAGCTATGGCTCAATGGTTTAAAAATTAAAACACCAGAAAGATGGTTATTCTAGCTTTCTAACCAGGTTTGTATCTATTTTTATTTTTATTTTTTGCAATGCTCCTCTGCACTACAAGGTCTCTCTCTCTCTCTCTCTCTCTCTCTCTCTCTCTCTCTCTCTCCCTCTCTCTCCCTCCCCTCCATCTCAGTTTTTCATTACCACCACTTGGACTTCTCATCTGGATGGGAATTACGTTTGGGAAGGTGATCAAGGGCATGGGTGTGGTTCGTTCAGTTGAGAATGTGAACACGAAGGGCGGAGACTTGCCTATCCAAGAAGTTATTGTGGATTGTGGGCAGCTTCTTGAGGGAGCAGATGATGGGGTGTGTAACTTCTTCAAAGATGGTGAGGTTTATCCTGATTGGCCTGTTGATCTTGATACAAAACTAGAGAACATTTCTTGGTGGGTCACGACTGTGGACGCTATTAAGGCCATTGGAAATGAACCGTTCAAGGTAATGAGTTATTTCATTTAATATCACAACTTTGGTAATTATGTCGTACATTTCATTCACGAATGCCAATAGTATGCTTTTTAATCTTTATACAGAAGCAAGACTACAAGATGGCCCTCAGAAAGTATCGCAAGGTTTTGTGGTACGTGGATATATGCTGCGACGAGCTCCTCTTTACTAATAGCTCAGTAAGAATTTTCATTTATCAAATTTGAAAGCACTGGATGTTAAATGAATTCTCTTGGAAACCCTCTTGAAATGAAAGCAAACTTATTGTCTGGATAAGTAAACCAATTTCAGTTAAGCTGTGTAAATGACAAGTTGTTGAACTATGGTTATTGCAGAAAGTGTACATTTATAAGTGGCAGTGATTGACATCGAAATTGTATGATAGTAACTTAATCATACTTAAATTAAGCCTGTTAGACAAAGTTGAAATTACTGTTGGTTCTGAGTTGCTATGAAGAATCCTTGAAATGAGTGAAACCAAAAAGACAACTATGAATATAGTAATCAGGCCTCGCTTTAATACTTCTCTGAAGGCTAACTTGAATATGTTCATGAGTATTCTGTATTCTTTTGTGGTACATTGATTTTAATGTCATCAACTAAAAAGAAATACATTTCCCTTTATCCACTTGATTGATAGGTGAGTTTTCTGTTCAGGCCTGCAGGTTGAAATTAGGAGACCTAGAAGGAGCATTGTTGGACACAGACTTTGCATTGCGTGATTGGGAAGCTAATGTGATGGCTTTGTTTCGCCAAGGCCAGGTAATAATCTTTAATTGGCAAGAATTCATAGAGCCTTCTGGTTGCTGTTTATTACATTTTTTAATTAAAGTAGTTGTGTCCTTTTTTTTTTTGCATGGGATAGAAACTGACTCAAATGTGAGTAAGAAACATGAATCTCTAATCCTCTTCCTCTCTTCTGTGTCTTTTAATGTAGCTCCCAATTGATCATTTTCTGTGGTTTTTGTTTTCTGGGTTTTTTTTGGTTGTCTAGAAAATGCCGTAAATGAAGGAAAGTTTGAAGCATTTTTGTTTTATTTTGGGTTGTACGATTAAGTTCTCTGTATTTGTGGAGGATGTGTTTACTACTTCGTCTAAGCTAAACATTAAGAAGAGATTTAGTTGTCGAATGTTTGAACAACTCTTTATATGTAAAATAGCTTTGTCAACAACTACTATATATTATACAAATACTTATTTTAAATCTACGCACAATGCTTCAACACATTTAGTCCCTTATCCTAACGCTAATTGTACTTAAAATTCATTTGCTATACCCACGGCAACGCGCGGGCTAAAACTGCTAGTAATTGACTAAAACAATAAATGGCAAGAGTATAGAATTTGTTTTCCCAGAAAATTGGGGGTAAAACTGGAAGAAGAGTGAGTCAAAGAAGGGTAATGAGAATGAAGAGAAGAACAGAAGCAATGAAGGGGATACTTTACAGCAGCAACGAGGACCCTGTGTGTGTCACGCATGGTCTCTTTGATAAAAGTAAACACATTCGAAGGATAATATGCAGATCAGTTTTTGGTTGTACAAAAAGGTGAGGTTTTTTTTATAGAGAATGACGGTTTGGTCCTTTCACGGTTTCACTTGGTGAACATATGGGTGGGCACGGTTCGATTTCGTCTGGTTTAACATAAAAAACAAAAACCAGACCAAAGAATTTGCATGGTTTGATTTGGTTTGGTCGATTTATGCAGGGTACATGCCGCAACATCTGAACTAATCAATACCTATTTAAGAGAGAGAGAGAGAGAGAGAGAGAGAGAGAGAGCTCTACTTTATGTAAGACCCATTTTGAACATAAATATTAACTGATTCCACAACAATTGTAAAATGTTTATTAAATTAAACCAAATATATATTCTAAAATATTCAAACTAAACATTCACTAGTTGAAACACTTGTCAAAGAGAATTTGCAAATAAAAAGAAACAAAAGCAAAAATATGTTAAATTTTATAATACTTCAACATGTCAATGCATTAAGATTAAAATCGGTCCTACAATTTTATTGTATCTAAAATTAAACTCAGGCTTTTGATGTCGTTTTTTCCTTGCTAAAAGATTCGGACATTCACTTTGTAGTAGTGGCATGTCGTTCATTAGAGCTGCTTTTCTTTTCATTGGCTGATGAGGAGCCCGTTTCCTAGTTGTTTTCTGTTTTACTACTCTTTGCTTTTTCACTGCTTCTTCTCTTAGGTCCATTGTCAAATGTATACAAGGACACAATTTCAGGAATTTCCCCTGGAATGTTGTAATTCGATTTCGACGCCATTGTTCTAGCAAAAATTTCCACTCCTTGGAATTACGATTGTAATCGACAAACTAATTGCGAAATCCTTAAAGGCGAAAAGACAATGATGTGGTACAGGCTAAAAACCCTCCGATAGTCAAAGTAAACTCGTACAGTTGAATTCGACTTAGAGCTCAAAGTATTGCGTGCCTTGTATTGTTCATGAAGGAGGTATTTATACTAGTAAGATGGACTCCTGACTCCTTGTTTAAGTAGGAGTATGTAAACTTACTCGTTTGCATTCCAGTATCAATGAGGACATTGAGGAGGAGGAAACAAGCTAGATTATTTCCTTTCTTTTTTCATCTGCTTCCATTGATATCTTTCCCTCTAGCAGACACATTCTCTAGCATAGATATTAAAATTAAAATAAATTTCAAATTTACAATTAAGTTTACAAAAGTTGAAATATCGCAAGGTAAATTGTAAGTTAACTGTTTACTTACCAAGAATAAGAGTTAGAACTATTGTGATTCTTTACTGATTTTGGTTAATTAAAACATGGGTATTGAAACTTTTCTTGTTTAGCACATATGGAAATAAAAAGTGTGAGTTCCTTGAAAAATTAGGGATGAGATAAACTGTGGAACTAGTTGATCACATTCCCATTCCTTTTTTTCCTAAAACTTGATTCACGACTTCTTCTATTCCAAGTAAGTAAACATGTCTAATTCTCCTTCTGATTCTCGCTTATATTAAAATAAAAATAAAAAACTGGAAGCATGTTCTTTTCTCCAACTTCTCTCTGTTTTTCTTTTTGTGCTAAAAATTGCTTTACCTTTTGTGTGTAAAGGAAGCACGACAGGTACCTGTGCAGTCTAAATGCCAGCCTATGTATGTGTGACCCGACCCGTTAAGTATCCACCCGAATGCTAATTTAACGGATTAGTGGGGTTGGGTTAACATGTTGGGTCTAAAATGCCAGGTCTATTATTATGTGTGATAATATATGATAGGATCATGGACACAGTGGAAATCATGTTATAAAACAATTGTACAATTTTTTTTTTTTTTTATAGAATCTTTAATCCATAAAATATGAAGAATAATATTCCTTGGGCAATTGCTAGCTGGGAAAGTATCCTTGCCAGATCTTTTCCTAGTGATCATAGGGATCCCGTGATTTTATATGTTCATTGTATATCGTACGTTCAGAAATCATTTCAAAATTTTAAAATTTAAAATTAAATATGAATAGTATCTAATGAAAATTGACCGCACGATATACGATGAACGGGTGAGATCATGAGATTCCTAAGAAAGGGATCCGGCGAGGATCTTTTTCTGTAGCTAGCAAATTACAACATGAAAAGAAGGGGCAGAAATAATCTGCTAGCTAGTACGAATTTACGGAGACTATGGGAAGTGTAGTCTAAAACCAGAGCTGTGAATAAGGATCATAGATTAGAAGAGAAGAGATTCAAATTAAAGTTGCAACCCAACATTCCATTTATTGGTGAGAGATACTGCAATCAAATTCGATAACTGATATCGCTGGTCCACGGCCTGTTATGGAATTAAGAGATTCTGTTCAGATACGCATGAGATCTAATGATATTGTTGGAGCAAATCGACTTCTCAATCCATGGAATATAACAGCCAATGCAAACATATAGCCAAATCAAACTTCATTGTTATGATTAATCTTAACGTTTACGAAAAATCGATGAAGTAATGTTACAAATTAAAATAAAATAAAAGATAGTAGCAGATGCAAAGGACTGATTGGGCTAAAAAAGCACTCGTTTTTTGCTGTTCTAAAAAAGCAACTCCAAACATTCTGTGAGTTTATTATAAGGTTATGCGTTTCCTCAACGACAGTCCTGTGCTAGGTAGTGATGAAAAACAAAGCTGAGGAAAAGAACCATCTTTGTATATTAGAAAATGAGTTTGAATTGTTTACAAGCTCTCTTGCTATCTTTGAAGAAGAAAGGAACGGTAGACCTAAACCTCGAATCGTAAAGAGTGAAACATTAGTATTTATATAATGATAGTTGATCTCGAGGTGCTTTGCTCTTGCGTGAAAAATAGGATTGGCACCAAGAGCAAGAGCACATAGATTGTCAAATAAGAGCAGCGGTGGATTATGGAGATAGAAGTGAAGGTCATTGAGGAGGTAGCAAATCCATGATACTTCAGCAGCTGTTTGGGCTAGAAAATGGTATTCACTTTTGGTTGAAGACCGAGCAACAATTGGTTGCTTCTTCAAACTCCATGAAATAAGATTGTTTCCAAAGAATATGCAAAACCCAAATGTAGAAAGACTATCAATGGGACAACCAGCCTATTTGGCATTCGAAAAAGCAGTGATATTTGGAGAGCCTTTGGTGAGAAGAAGTCCATGATCTGGAGTCCCCTTAAGATAACGGAGAATCCGCTTGAGGGCTGTGAAATGAGTTGTTCTGGGATCTGAAGATGTTGACAAACTTGATTAATGAAAAAGGTGATGTTAGGCCTTGTCCATGTAAGGTGTTGCAAAACACCATCCAATGATGTACATGATAGGGCCTTGAAGGAGCAAGTTTAGAAGCAGATGAAGGCGATGCACATGGTTTGGAATCTAGCATGTTGGCTTTTGTTAGGAGGTCCTGGACATACTTGGTTTGAACCAAGAAGAGCGTGTCCGCTGTTCGATGAGTTTGAATACCAAGAAAAAAGTGCAACGGACCAAGATTCTTCATAGCAAACTGAGTATTGAGCTTGTTGATAAAAAATTCACAATGAAAAGAAGAGTTACCTGTAATCAGAATACCATCAGCATAATCAAGCATAAAAGTGAGTGAGTGAGTGAGTGATCAACCTTGACAAAGAGTGAAGGATCTGCTATAGAGGAACGGAATCCGAGAGCTACAAGACTACGATAGAGCTCCTCGTACCAAGCTCGCGTCGCTTGTTTGAGACCATATATAGACTTGTGAAGCTTGCACACAAAATGAGGTCTGAGAGGATCTATAATCTTGGGTAAAGTACAAAAAACTACCTCAACTATTGGGGTCACGACAGTTTCATACCTTATCTTTTAAAATTGACAATGTCATACCACATCTTACGAATTTGTGACACTGTCATACCTCCGTCAATTTTTCTGTTAGCTTTTCTGTTAAATGCTGACGTGGCAAGAGACGGGGACCACTTTCTATTAAAAAATTAATAAAATATTATTAAAAACTAAAAAAAATATTTAATATTTTTTAAATATTAAAATAATAAATAAAAGTAAAATTAAAAAAAAAGGGTAAAGTACAAAAAACTACCTTAACTATTGGGATCACGACAGTTTCATACCTCATCTTTTAAAATTGACAATGTCATACCGCATCTTACGAATTTGTGACAATGTCATACTTCCGTCAAATTTTCTGTTAGTTTTTCTGTTAAGTGCTCACGTGGCTTGATTTGGGACATACTTTCTATTAAAAAATTATTAAAAACTAAAAAAAAAATATTTAATATTTTTTAAATATTAAAATAATAATAAAAAGCAGAGAAAAAAAAAACCATCAGTTCGTCCCTCCCCTCCCCCTCCCCCTTCCTCTCTCTTCTCCCCATCTTCATTTTTTTCCCCCCACCTGCAAACCCAAAAAAATAAAAAAAATAAAAAAATTTTGAAAACCCAACAACCCCCCTGCAGAAGAACAAGAAGGAGAAGGAGGAGGAGGAGGAAGAAGAAGAAGAAGAGGAAAAAAAGGAGGAAGGAAAAAAAAAAATTCCCCCCTGTTGGCGCGGAAGAAGAAGAAGGGAGAAGGAGAAGGAGGAAGAAGAAGAAGAAGAGGAAGAAAAAATAAAAAAAAAATTTGAAAACCCATCAACACCCCCCTGCGGAAGAAGAAAAAGGAGAAGGAAGAAGAAGAAGAAAAAGAAGAGGAAAAAAAGGAGGAAGGAATTTTTTTTTTTGTTTTTTTAAACCATCAACTCCCCTATGGAAGAAGAAGACAGAAGAAGAACTTTTGAAAACCCATCAAACCCCAAATCCACCACTTTCATCTATTCTCCACATCCTCTTCCGCACCCATCCTCCACCTTCTCTGCTCACCCATCTTCCTGGCGACGGGATCTGGGTTTTTTTTTTCTTTTTTTTTTCTGGGTTGCAGGAGGGAGAAGAGTGTGAGTGTGGGTGTGGGTGTGGGGGGAAGACAAATTGGTTTTTTTTTTTTTTTTTTTGGTTGGGATTTGCAGGCGGGGGAAGAAGATGAAGATGGGGAGAGGAGAGAGAGGAGGGACGAAATGAGGTTTTTTTTTTTTTTTTTTTTTTTTTTTTTTTTTTTCTGTTTTTTATTATTATTTTAATATTTAAAAAATATTAAATAATTGTTTTTTAGTTTTTAATCATTTTTTAATAGAAAGTAAGTCCCGAATCAAGCCACATTAGCACTTAACAGAAAAATTGACGGAGGTATGATATTGTCACAAATTCGTAAGATGCGTATGACATTGTCAATTTTAAAAGATGAGGTATGAAACTGTCGTGACCCCAATAGTTGAGGTAGTTTTTTGTACTTTACCATTTTTTTTTTAATTTTACTTTTATTTATTATTTTAATATTTAAAAAATATTAAATATTTTTTTTAGTTTTTAATAATATTTTATTAATTTTTTAATAGAAAGTGGTCCCCGTCTCTTGCCACGTCAGCATTTAATAGAAAAACTAACAGAAAATTTGACAGAGGTATGACATTGTCACAAATTCGTAAGATGCGGTATGATATTATCAATTTTAAAAGATGAGGTATGAAACTGTCGTGACCCCAATAGTTGAGGTAGTTTTTTGTACTTTACCCTATAATCTTTGAGGTTGATCTACATACAAATCTTCATGAAGTGTACCGTGAAGGAAGGCATTGGAGACATCCAATTGAGTAATCAACCAATTGAACTGGGGAGCTAGAGATAAAATGAGTCAGATAGTTGTTGATTTAGCGATCAGACTGAATGTTTCATGGTAGTCAATACCATGTTGTTGAAGAAACCCTTTACCAACAAGTCGTGCTTTATATCGATCCAAACTGCCATATGCCTTGTATTTAACTTGATACACTCATTTAGATACAGTAATGTTGTGAGAATGAGGTGGCAGAACAAGTGTCCAGGTGTGTGTATTCTTTCTCCAATGACTAATCAAGGAATTTTACTAGAAATAGTTTCAATGACTAGGAGCGTACGAGAAATTAAACGTAACAGAAAATTCCAAAAAAATTGCGAGAGCCTTCTTCTAGTATTTGAATCAAACTCTCAATGAAATCAACAATTTGTGGTAGTGAAAATCCGCCGTCTTCAGTCTTGACGAATTTGTATCGACAAAACAATTAACACTTTTGATCAAAGACCCAAACCTCATGTCTCACGAGGTTGGGGGTTTGACTAGTAGATCTCCGATGCCTAAGTCAGTTTCTCTAAAAATAGTAAATGTTTAGGACTTGTATGTTTAACAAAAAGCTTACTAAAATTTTTATCTAAGAGTTGAAGATGGTCTAACAGTAGTGTTTTTTTTTTTTTTTCATTTTTTTTTTGTTTTTGTTTTTGTTTTTTTGTTTTACCAAAAATAAAGCTATTCTTCCCGACTGAGGAGGCCTAAGAAACCTCATTGAATCTCGTGATTTCACGAACGAACCAGGATCCTTGCCGGATCCATTCCCTAGGGATCCTAGGGATCACGCAATTGTGTCCGTTTATCATATATCATGCGGTCAGAAATCATTTAAAATTTAAAATTTAATATTCAAATATAAATAGTACCTAACGAAAAATAGCCGCACGATATACGATAAACGGACACGATTGCTTGATTCCAAGGGAATGGATCCGGCGAGGATCCTGGTTGAAGAACCACCAGCTTCTCGAAATTTCACAAACCTCTACCCTTTCCGCTGACTTCTCTAACCTAAATCAAGCGTGCTGCTTCATCCAAGAACACGAAGTTGCGGACTTTTGTAATCGGAATCGCCGACGATTCCTGTGATGTCTGGCCTCGATGTTGGTCTCAAATGACTCATCATCATCCGAGATACCTTCTAGGCCCATTGCATGTGAAGATCTTATTCAAATTTGTGATTTAACACGATTGAATTTTAGTAAATTTTTCATGATTTTGTAAAAAAAAAATTCTTTTAAATTTCTGAGCTTTGGAGGGTTCTTCATTAAACTTATGGAGTTTTTTGGCGTTTTTATTTGAGATTTAGTATTTTTCTTTCTAGATTTTGTAGAATACTTGGATTAAATTTGGGAGTTTGGTAGCGGTGTTTTTTCTGTGCATTTTTGGTGAACTTGGTTGTGGGTTTTGATGTTTGTCTGCAGCAGGGAACCAAGTGCTCCAACAGTTCCAGACTCTGATTGTGCACCGCCAACTCGCGAACCAAGTGCTATTTCAGCACCTGCACGAGATGAACGAAGCGAGATGGTATAGTTTTCTGTAATTTTTACTATTGCTGTATGTAAATGACCAGATCGAAATGTCTTTGATCTCCTTACAAATTCAGTTCCCTGACTTATTTTCCTTTTTTCAATTTGAATGCAACTTTGTCCAATCGTATTTTCTTATATGGTTAGCTTCAGAAACCACTACTCCACAATTTCAGAAAGTTAAAATTGCCATCTGCATCGAATATATGTAATTTAGTTGTGATGCGGAAGCTTGAGAGGTCATCTAGAAATGCAGCACTATCTAATTTAGTTGATTCAATCAAAGCATAAAAGCAAACAACTCACATACAGCAATTGTATCAAGCAACCGGTTATTCAATCAAAAGTTAACACAGCAAAATGTTAACCCAAAACCCTCTCTTATATGGCTACATTGATGTCAACAACCTTTTAGTTTGTTAGTCTTCACCGGTTCGGTGGCATCTTTGTAATGGTCTTCCTTATGAACCCGGTCTTCTCTCCAGAGGGTCTGCTAAGGTCCGAATATTTCTACCTCTATTTATATATATACATGTATGTATAGCTGCTTCGATGTTCACTTGGTGTACATATTTTACACACAAAGCACTTTTGAAAGTTTACTGTTATTGATGTGAGTTAGTTTGTTGTTTTTAACCATTAAACTAATTTGTGGACCCTAATTTCTATGAGAGTATCTCATTATCATGATAAAAAAAGCACAATAAATCATAAAATTAAAGAGGAGGGCTTGATCATGACTATATTTGATAATTAATTCATAACTCTTTAATTTACATGAACAACCTTTACATTTCTGCTAAATATTAATTGGTGTTGGACGTCTTATTACACATAACACGCGATATTCTTTTTGTTTGCTAAAAAGAAAGTGATTCATTATATATGCATGGTGTGTGTGAGTTACTACAGAGCTAATAGGTGAATCTACATAGAAGAGCATTTATATACCTGCTGCTTGATGTGGAATTTTACTTTCTCTTTTTTTTTTATTTTTTATTTTTTATTTAGCAATAACACATACGATCTTGGATTCTATTTCAATGAAAGCAGATCAAGTTTCGGAGTGAAATTTTTCATTGATTTTGTGGTTTTATTAGCGTGAATTATCCAGCACACACACCATGATGTATTTGCTAATGAGTAGTCTACAGGGTCCTTTGGTCCGAAAGAGTTTCAGCAGCTAGGCAGTTGCAACACACGTTAAGTACTTCCATGTGCCTCCTTATGCTGGGATTTTGTTAGACAGGTATGTATTTTATCTTCATATACTTCATAGTTTTATTTAGTTTTGATATATAATCAACTAGAAACGCATTCAGTTGAGTGAATTCTGCATTGTGACATACATGACACTGGAGTTATGCTCTGTTTGTGATTAAGGATGGTTATGTTTTCTCATATTTACATTAATACTGTGAAATGTTGAGTAAAAATCAATTTAGGGGAACTATATACTGCTAGAGATGTGCATATTAATCCCGCCTAAAGTAAAATTTAGAAATCTGGCATAGTGAAGATCCAATAGAGAATATGAGAAACCCAACTTAATTTTATGAATTTGTTTTGGTGCCTACAAATGAAATCCGGCATAGTGAAAGTTTGTGTACCGAAATTATCACAAATTTTCCTTCATCTTTAGATTTTCATTCAATTCAATTCATATGCAATTTAGTGTGATTCAATTCATAAGTGATCAAATGCTGTTTTTAATTTCCTTCTTCTTTTGATTTTCGGTTCAACCTTGTCGTACAAAATGAAGGAGACGTCATTAACGGAGTTACAGATTTGGGTGTCTTTTGTGGAAACAAAACTGGATTGTTTTAACTTTGTATAGTTGTAAACATAAAACAATCTCTGGGATACAGCCATAGCTTTTGAAAGACAATCCTTTAGGATGGCATACCAGCATTCCCAATTTTTTCCATGTAATATATGAACGTAAATAGCACTTCCTTAACACATGGATGTAATATATGTATATAAATACCGCTCTGTGGCACATATATTTTTCGAGACATCTACATATTCAATAATGTTTTCAAACTCCACAACAACGCACAGGTACTCTTTGGTAGTTTTGTACAAAACATCATTTTATGCAAATCTGTTGTATCAACTACATGCTCAAATTAAGAATAAGTTGAGAACGTATCATTTTAGTTTTTGAGATTTAAAATCACTATAAATGGTTTCTGAGATTGTCTACCATTTATCATTTTGGTTTAAAAAACTTTGATAAGTTGTCAGTATTTTTGTCAAATCAAATTCTCCACTTGCTTTTTCACCTTTTCTCTCATTTTCCTAAAAAAAAAAAAAAATACTCATGTGTTGTTGATTTTGGCAGTGAAATCAAATCTTCATCCATTATTAAAAACAATTTGGCGCCAAATTCAAGTAAATCATCACAAACGGTCCCTGACTTTTTCCCTTCCGTTAGTTTTTGGAAAGAAACTGTACATTTTGCACTTTTGAATATAAATGAAATGGATGGTTCAAAGTATGATATATCTACAGACAAGGCTAAATCATAGAATTACCAAAAAGAGATACCATGTTCCATTACATGAGATTTTCAACATGATCAGCATTATAACTTGCAAAATATTCAAATGTTCAACATCAAAAAACAATATCCACATGTTTAAAAACAAGATCAAACTCTAAATGTTCAACTACAAAATCGATGTCCAACTGTTCTAATTCACAAAAAAGAAGAAAAGAGATGGTTGTAGCTTGTTTTCTTCCATTTGTGCAGTGACATCCAAACTACAAACTCCCTCCATACTCAAGGCTTCCAGGACTTGTCTCTCTTTGCAGGTGATTTGTATCTTTTGCTGGTAGACTGTGATTGTGGTGGCACTACTTGGGAAGTGACACTAATTGTCACATCCCGGCCCGGGCGAGACCACTTCCCGGGCCCGCTCCACCACCGTAGCACGATATTGTCCGCTTTGGGCCCCCACCACGCCCTCACGGTTTTGTTTTTGGGAACTCACACGAGAACTTCCCGATGGGTCACCCATCCTGGGAGTGCTCTCGCGCGCTACTCGCTTAACTTCGGAGTTCCAATGGAACCCGAAGCCAGTGAGCTCCCAAAAGGCCTCGTGCTAGGTAAGGATGGGAATATACATTTAAGGATCACTCCCCTGGGCAATGTGGGATGTCATACTAATGCAGCCTTGTACCTATTAAAAACCAAATGATAGCAGCGTACGCTTAGCCACCCTATAAAATCCAAATCATACTCCTTTTATCACAATTTACATAATTATTGTTGAAAAAAAAGAGTAAAGAATAAACAATACAAAAACTAAAGAACTATTGATTGTACCATTTAAACTTGTAGAGTGGACTGTGAGCTAGATACTACTATTCTCATGCCTCTCCCTCTTCCCATTCCCCTGCCCTTTCCCACCTACATTATCAACCAATTTAATGAACTTCACTTTCATTATCAAAAACTAGAATTGAAAAACAAAAATACAATATAAAATAGATTATACCTCTCGTATAGATGTGTTAACAACCGAATGATTTGGCTCTTGAGTGGCTTGAGTTGCTATTTTTAAAATGACCTCAATGCCCACGATCAATCTCCATGTTCAACAATGTGTTGTGAGGAAGTTCTCCTCAAGTCACATATGAAATCAATAGAACTGTGACATCATTTGTCAAAATAGTGTCACGTTCACAAAGTAAAAAGGAAAACGACTTCACAAGATGTTAAGAGAGGTGCAGAAAGTATGTGGAGTGATGTTTTTGTTTCCTCCAAACTCGTTGAGCAATTGGTAGGAAGGGTTGTAAGATTGTTTGATGAAGTGGCGCTCGATCCATCATGATGACGTGCATCATCGTTCACAACATGAGTGTAGAAGATAATTGACTATTTATTTCATAAAAGTTTACGTAAAATTCTAGAAAAACGCTAACAATTACTGTCTTATTTGTTAAAGAAAAATGGAATATGTTATAAATAATTATTTAATTGGTTGGATATTCAGGAGTCAAAAACTCATTAATTTATGAATGCATTATGAATTATTTCATTTATTAGATCTTGAATTCTAATGAACATTTTTTCATTTTCAACAATTCATGAAAGAATAAATTAAGAAAACACTTATGAATATATTGACTACAAGAAAGACCTCATGATAGTCAATATGGGACCCCACCACCCATGAATGATGGTGTTCTTGGCAAAAAAATCAAATAATTGTACAATATTTACCTTATGTAACACGATCACTTTGTTTGCAATTGTGCGACTGACTAGTAGAGTCAGTAGAGTCATGAGTGTCATGAGTTGGTGTTGACTGACTAGTAGAGTCATGAGTGTCATGAGTTGGTGTTGACTGACTAGTAGAGTCTCATTTTCACAAGTTCTTTTTGTGTGGCTTTCATGTCCATATTAATAACATGCATACGATCTGTGCGAAAAGTCTGTGTGAAACCCATTTTCCTAGGTACTTTCCACCCTGAGTTGTCAGTACTGGTGGCTCTACCTAGGTTCCTTTGTCCTATTTTTTCTTTTACGGCAGTTATGATAAATGATAATAATATTTAATGTTGTCCACCTAGGGAGGAGGATTATCTTCTTTTCTAATTTCTTTCTCATTTTCTTCCCTCGTAGATGAACATTACCGTTAAATCACATTAATATTTTATAATTTTTTTAATAGAAATAATAAGATAAAAAGTAAGCATGTCAGAAAAGGAGAAAGAAGAGAATATGAATGAGAAGAGAAAGAATCCCACTCCATACGTTCTGGCGGCCAACTATGGAGACCTTTCACACCATGTTTTAGGTGTCAACTAACTATGGAGGTCATTCACACCCTAAGTTCCAGGACAGCCAGCTATGGAGGATCTTCACTCCATGTTCCAAGTGTCAGCCATGTATGGAGGCGCGCCACCCCATGCTCCAAGTGTCAGCAATCTATGGAGGCCCTTCACTCCATAATTTCAGGTTTTAACCAGCTTTGGTGCTTCCAGTCTGGCAGAATTACGTATCAACCATTTGTACTGTCTGTAGCCACGTTAAAAGCTACCACGGGCTAAATGTTGAAGGAAAAGAAATCACCCGATCTGATTGAGAGTGATTGTAGCTTCTGAAATTATCAATTTTTGGGATAAAGTGATTGTGGGATGTAAATGTAATTAGCTTTATTATAGGTTCTATTTACTTAGAATAGCACATAGGTTTTGTATAAGATCTTACCTTGTGGGAAAGGAATCATTTTCGAATTTCTTCTTTCTAATCCACCAAATCAGAAGACTCGTACTATTGAAATTTGATCAAACAACTACAAATAAGGGTCTACTTAAAAAGTTATAATAACTTTAGCTGTTAAATCAATTTTCAACAACATGAATTCCTTAATTTAATGGATTACAAGGAAGGGATCCAGAGAGGATCCCTTTCCTATCATTTGTACCAATATTCAAATTAATGCAAAATACAAATTAACTTTTGGTGAAAAAAGAAAATTTTACATATATTTTTCATTAATTTTTTAATGTAGTGTACTATATACTTAGCCACTAAGTCTAATTATCTTAGTTTAATTATATAAGATTGTATCTTGCAATGTAATTCTTATTAGCACTTTAAAAATCTTATTTTGAACTCTAAATTTTCTATAATTAGAAAGAAAATACATATGTGAGGAGTGTAGAATGAGATTTTTGAGTGTTAATAACAATTCTCATCTTACAATTCATAAGCCATCTCTTTTTCTTACACTCTTTTTCTAATCGCTTCTCAGACATATTTGTTTCAAGTTTGGCGTCGTTTAAATTTTAATACGTATTTTTTTGGTAAACAAATGGGGCTAACACCTAACAAAGAGAAACTAAAGCAAAACATCACAAGGTATAGAGATTTTAGCAACATCTGACATCAAGAGATAACAAGAGGCAAGAGCTTGAGCGAAATAAACTGAACCAAGAGAATTCAAGTTAGCTAATTCCTCAACCACAAAATGCATCTCATCATAAATATGACCAAGTTCACAATTCCAATCTTTGTTTAACAGCTCACGGCATGCCTCCAATTCACCAAGAGGATGGTTCTCACTCGCACCTTGAAGAACTATATGGTCAATGAGAACAAAATTAGATTCCAATTTTACATGTATTTGTTTAATAATGAAAAATTTTGGCTCACCATGTGAAAATTTTCTTAGGTTAGCTGATAATGTGAAAAAAGTATTTTATGTTTCTTCATTTATAAAAATTTAAATCTTTAAGCTAGCACACTCAATAAAGGCTCCGTCCTTGTTCACCATCACGTGACATTTCTTGTCCAATACTGCATTGTTATGTGTAATGTATTATTAAATATGAATGCCACGTAATAATGACCGGTTATTAAAAAAATATAAAAAAATTTATAAAAAAGAATTGTGCTGATCGTGCCGCATACGCTTAGGCAAGTGGTTCTATTATTTGCTTTAAACTAGCCATCAAATTCGAGTCTACTAGAAATTGAGTTATTTATTTGAATAAAACTAATTTATTTTGTATTTATTTTTTGTTGAAGTAGGATTTTCTTTCATCTTTTTTTCTCTCTTCCTCTCACTCTCCTTCTATGTGAACGGTCACGGTTAAGCCACGTTAACATCTTATATTAATTTTTTATAGCAAGAAAAAGACAAAATAAAAGAATATAAGAGGAGGGGATGAAAGGGGATGGAAAAAAGAGGGAAGAGAGTCCTAATCTTTTTTTTGTTGACATGCATACTGTAAGAGGTCATTTTGATGGGAAACTTGGATGGGATAGTGATGGTAGCACCTCTTTCGGGTCAATGGTAGAGTCCACTTCACTTGGACTTCTTGAATCGTTCAACTAATAAAACACGTTGAAGCGAAAGCTCATGGAAAGTTAGGGAAGTCCTACTTTGAAGAAAATTCTTTGGTTTCCTTCTTTTCTTTTTTTAAATAATAAAAACTATTATTAGCATTTTAAAATTTTAATTATACACTTTTCATAACACGATTATTTCTTTTTATAAGAAAATATTATTGTTACTCTAATTCAACAATAGCTTCTAACTCAATGTTTAGA